AGAAATCTGACTAACAACCTCATTTTATAGGTGAGCAAGTAAATCTACAGAGCCAAGATTCCAAGTCCCCAGGAAGCCAAGAGGCCAGAAAATTAATCTATAGTAGTGATGAGAGTCTGGAATCCCAGAACTCCACGATGCTGATTTGTATCCCCAAATTCTGTATTCTTATGCTTCACAGGCCCACTCACTGCTCTGAGAATCAGAGATGTGGAGGTCTGATGACTGCACTGCCTGGAGCCGGAAAATGGGAGGTCATGCCATCAGGAAGCTGCTTGAGCTAGGGCTGTTCTGGAGGTGTTTGTTCCACTAGCCATGGATGACAACCTCCCACATGACATCCAGAGGCACAGGCTAGGTGTGTGATGACTCAGGGTGGACAATCTGAAAGGCGTGGAGGTTTTCTTGGGGTGGGGTCCAGAAATAGAGGTCTTACCCATTCACCCCTCCCCCTTTGCTACTCACCCTGAGTCTTCATTCTCATTCAAGGAGAGACTGACCTAAGGGTCCAGCTTCCATGGAGTCTAGTCAGAACTTCCTATCAAAATCAAAATGGAGCTCTCAGGGGCAGTTAGAAGTAGGAAACACAAGCCCTGGCTGGTGTGGCACAGTGGAGGACTGAGAAGCAAAGGGGCACCAGTTCAATTCCCAGTAGGAGCACATACCTGGGTTGTGGGCCAGGTCCCCAGCAGGGGGTACATGAACAGCAACCATACATTGATGTTTTTCTCCCTTTCTTTCTGCTTCCCTTACCCTCTCTCTAAAAGTAAATAAATAAAACCTTTAAAACCTTTAAAATAGAAAAAGAAGTAGCAGCTGCAAAAGAGGCCTCACTCGCCATACATGGGGCAGCTCAGAAAGATGTACAAGCGCCCACCCCACCCATGCACCCTGGCCCTGGCTTTTCTCCACCAGGGTTTTCCACCACATGACCTCAGAACTTCGAGTCCCACCTCCAGTATCCATATATTGGAGGGACTGGCTTTCATGGGAAACACATAATCCACAGAGACTGAGACCCATACTGCCTCACCACCCTCTGGGGATGTGGGCAACCTCTGCCCACTTGAAACACAGAAACAGATGCTCCTAGGGCTCTGAGTGAGATCAGGGACCACAATGCTAGGCAAAGCCTGAAACCTAGAGTATGTGTTGTTGTCACTGTCTCAACGGGCTTGAAGAAGTCATCTGATCGACAGCCTGACTTGGCAGGGAAAACCTGGAGAGCCAAAAATTTGGCCATGGTTCTGGACTGGAGAGGAAAGACTCATTTTTGGTTTGGTTTGTTTTTAATTTATTTTTAGAGAGAGGGGAGGGGAGGGAGAAAGAGAGAGAAACATCAATGTGTTGTTGCCTCTTGAGCACCCACTACTGGGGGCCTAGCCCACAACCCAGGCATGTGCCCTGACTGGAAATCAAACCAGCAACCCTTTGGTTTGCAGGCTAGCACTCAATCCACTGAGTCACACCAGCCAGGGCTGGAGAGGAAAGACTCTTAAAACACAACATGCTCACAAACTAAGAAAAAGAGATAGGGGCCAATGCAATGATCCAGGAACACACAGCCAGATTAGATGTGCAGCAGGGCACACCAAGAGGTACATCTGAGGTTGGGGGAGGGACAAGGAGGAAGAGAAGCTGAGATGGGTCGTGCATCTGGGAGCCACTCCCACCTATTTGTGTTGTAGCCATGGTTTCCTAACTGGGTACCGAGGCACCCAGTACACTGCAGGAAACCCCCAGGGTACTGACACACAAGGGAGACACAGCAATATCATCATCTGCTAGGAGTCACCTAAGGGCTCCAGATAGCCACATTTCAGCTGACATGGGCCACATTCCTTTGGAAGTTGTCATATCTCTGTGAGGATGGTTTTCTGGCTGATGCTGTGATAAAAAGCAAGTACCAGTGAAAATCCACAGGGACAGAAAGTGAGGTGTCCTTGCCAACTACAGGCACAGCTTCCCATCAGCAAGTAGCTGCAGTTATGTGTGAGTAAAACAAAAATAGTATTTTTTTTCACTTATGTAATTTTTTAAAGAATTAATTATTATGGTTTGGGACCTAATTACTTGCTAAATAATACTGTCAGGTATGTCTTCTGGCCTTGGGCTCTCTGGAAAGATGACTGAGCATGGACAGAGACTCTGGGCCCTCTGCCTGTTAGTGCAAGAGTCCACCCCTGAGGCACAGGTGCCCCAGAGTGAGACACATATGTGCAGACGGCAGGTGAAGGAACTTCCAGAAGGAGCAAGAACACCCCCACTTCTGACCTGAGACCCCCATCCTGTCCACACTTTTGTCCCTCTGAGGGCATAGCCATTGGCTTCCCACCTCCATATCCCACGCCCCCGGCTGCCCATATCCTTTCCTGCCTCCCCAACTTCTTTTTGCAAAAGAAAGAAGTGAATGATCAGGCAGTTAGTGTCTGAAAGTCTAGCATCCCCCTCCCCGATACAGAAAGTACCACTACAAAATTCCTCTTGGAATCTGTTATGAAGAATTTAAATGCCTCTGCAGACAGGGAACTCATCACCTCAGAATGCAAACTGCCCTCCTGTCAGGCCTTGCCCTCATACCAGGTCCTTGCCTCCCCTCCTAGCCCCAGCAGGGGCCTCCCAGAGCCCCTGAGACCAAACCTTCTTTTCCCCGAGGACTTATTCTGTAAGGAAAACGGCCCCTAAGGGGCAAAAACAAGACCCTTCCACAGGAGTCATCCTCAAAGGGGAACTGCTGTGGAGTCAGATGTGTGGCTCTGGTTGGGTCAGGTAAACTCCCTCTGGCTGACGGCAGAGGGAGCTGCCAGGATGGACCTAACCTTCAGCAGCTTTGTCCTGGAGGGAACCACGTGGGACCACCAGGGCCAGGCAAGAAGAGGCACAAGCAGACGTGTGTGTGTGTGTGTGTGTGTGAGAGGGAGAGAGAGAGAGAGAGAGAGGGAGAGAGTGTGTGTGTGTGTGTATGGTGGGGAGTGGGGTGTCTCTCTTCCAGTTAAGGTGCAGAATTTCCAGCTGAAAGTAAGGGAGCAGGAGAGAACCTCACCACCCAATTTAGTGGAAACCTCCCTTTCCTACACCTATGTCCCTCTCCACACCAACCCCAGGTGGCCTGGGGTGGCCAGGTGGCCAGGTGGCTACTGGTGTATAGATCCAGTAGCCTGGGGGGTGGGGGGGCTCCCCATCGCAGCTCTAATCCTGACAGGCCAATCAGCTGGGAAGGCAGGGGTAGGAGCTGTGGCATGGCCCCCACCCCACTCCCACAGCCCAGATCCCCAGTAATTCCATAATTGGGTGGGGTTTTCTCTGAGAGAGAGAGGGGAAGTCCAAAGGAGGACAATCTAGCTCCCTGCTGCCCACCCACCTCATCACAGAATTCATCCCTCCTTCCCTCTAGGGGTGTGCTGTGACTCAGAGGAGGGGTGGAGGGCTGGGCATGCGTAGACATAACTCGATCCCAAGGCCTGTGAAGGGAAGAGAACTTTCCTTGAAATACAACAGCTCTGCTCCACAGGAGAAAGGGCTCCTAGTACAAGTCACCAGGTGACCCTGGGGCTCACATCCACAAGCCCCCAGGCCCCCTTTGTAAATGGGGCAGCATGCTGTGGAGTGCTGCCTCTGAGTCTTCAATGAGCGCTGAATCCAGAGGGACACCAAGCTACCCCCTGTGCTGGGGCCTCACGGTGGGGCCCTACACTCTGCAGACCACACTGTGCAGTGCCACACAGCTCACAGGTGGTGGGGAGCAGTGGCTCCAAGAAAAGAGACATCATGAGAGAACCTCAACTTAGGATTTCTAGCTGCAGTTCTGCTCCCCTGCCCCAAGTCCTCCAATGGCAACAGGATTTCCTGCTCTGTTCTCCTCACAGCGTAATTGAGACTGACCAGTCTCCCATGGGTGAGGGTTTCTCGCCTGTTATTGTCATGTGTGCCAGAGAAAACTGGGGATGTCTCCCCTCCCCAGGTAAAAGCCTCTCTGTCTCCCTGGGCTGCAGATGAATTTGCAGACAGCTTCATTGTGGACTGAAAGCTGGAAAGCTAGAGAGCCGCTCCTGGAGACCTTGTGTAAGTCACGTTCCCTTCCTGGTCTTCCTTCCCCCTTCAGCTGAACCATAAAGCTTACCTCAGTTGTCAGAAATCCCTTCTGGGTTAAAGAAAAAAAAAACACAAAACAAAAACAAAAAACAAACAAACAAAAAACCTGGCAGCCCTGGCAGACCGGGTGGTAGGAGGTCCCAGAACTAAGGTCCCTGAGCTGGAGGGGAGGGTCTCGAAATACCAGGGGTTTCAGCATTCTTCCCCTGTTGGGTGTGGAAAGACAGTGACGACGTCACTACATGTTTCCCAGTCTTAACTTTCAGATACGTGGCTGCACCCTGGGAGCTCGCCCAGCAGCTGTCCCCACCGCAGGTGGTCTCCAACCCCTCTGATTTCTGTCTGCCGAGCTGCTCTGGTACCCCGGATCCCAGTGGACCGGCAAGGCGCGGCTGGAGGAGCCGGCTCAGACAAACTGACCCACTGCCCTAGCTCCTGGCAAGGAAATGGATGGAAAGATGCGGCAGCCTGGTTATCATGAGGGCAGAGCGCGCGACACAGAAGAAGCAGGAGCGAGAGCAGGACAGTGCGTCCCACGGTGCTCACAGGGCGCTCGGGGCTCCAAACTCCAGGTGCGGCCCGGGAGTTCGGAGAGGATTACTGCTGACCAAGCCGTCCAGGCTCCGGGTCCGCAGCTGTGGTCCCTCCATCTGACAGCAAACCTCGAACATTCTGCGCATCCAGCGCACCCCGAGCATCTTGCGGCCTCGGGAGGGGCCGGCACTTCTGTCACGCCAGCTCCTAGGGCCCCGCCCGCCCCCGGCTTGGCCCTCCCTGCCCCGCCCCGGCCGGGGCTCCGGCGGGCGCCCCCTGCGGCGCTGCCCCGCCCCCGCCGTCCCGCGCCGCCTCGGGCCCGGGCCCGCCGCCCGGCCGCCGGCCCACCTGGCGCAGCGCCGCCCTCGGAGCCCGCACACCCGCGAACACCCGCGCTCCCCGCGCACCCCGAGGCCCCAGAAGGGCCCAGCGCCGCCACTCGCCAGCTCCCAGGGCCCCGGCCCGCCCGGTGCCCGCGCTCTCCCGCCTGGCCATGGCCCCGCTCGTGTACTTCTTATTCCTCCACTGCCTGAAGCAGGCGCTGGGCAGCTATCCGATCTGGTGGTGAGTGAGCCTTCCTCGCGTTCGCCGCAGTGCGTCTTTAGCTGCCGTCCCCTCGGGCAAGGACTGCGGTGGCCTGGAGCCCACGCCCTATCCCTGCGACTCCGCGGGCCGGGGGCTGGTTGTTCCCTTGGCCGCCACCTTCAACTGGTTCAGGCCGGGGCTGGGGTGCGGGTGGCAGAGCTTCCGGGGACATTGATCCCCCAACCCGGAGGGGCCCCGGCGCCAGACGGGACGAACAGTGGGCTGGGGAGAGGCTGGAAGAGGGTCCACACAGATGTCACGAACGTCTAGGCAGCTTGAGTCCGAGGGAAGCCCGGAGGGTGAGCGGGGAAACAGAGATTCGCCAGATTTTCCTTAAGGACCGTGCTTTACACACACACACACACACACACACACACACACACACACCTTAAAAGAAAGTCGTTGAGACAAGACCGAACAGCTCGGGGCAGCGCAGTTACGTAAAGACAGCCGTGGGGACCGGCCGGGAACGGCGGGCACTGTGGGGCCAGCGCCAGGCCCTCCGAGCCTCCGCCGCTGTCCCGGCGAGGGTGTCCCCGAGGGGCCCTCTCTGCGAGCCCTCTGCCCGGACCTCGATGGCAGTGAGGAACTGCCGAGAGGTACGGAGGGAGAGCGCATCGAGTCTGAGGTTTCCTGAGTGAGAGGCGGGGGAACCCACCCCTGAGAAGGTTGGGGCGCTTTCTACTCTGCCCCAGACAAGGCGCATTCCTGTAAGACCCTCCTAAATCTGGCAATGGAAGCGCAGACAAACTGAGGGAGGGATCCCGAAGGTCGACTGTACATATTGGGGGAGGAGGGTCAGGGTTACTCTCCCTCGTGGCACCCGATTAGGCAGCTCCTCCACAGGCCACGGTCACCCCAGGCCTCCCTAGGGGGGAAGCGGGAGCCAAGGGGCTGGGCGCGCAGCTGGAGAGGACCCAGAGTTGGAGAGAAGCTTCCCCACACACTTGCGCACTCTGCACCCACACTCCCAGGAGCCCTCTCCGACGGCTTGGTGGAATTATAATAATTACGCCGGGGGGAAGGGGGAGACCCAACGAGCCCAAGTACATCTAATCCGATAATAATTTTTCTCTTCGAAATGGTTCAAGAGCGGGGGCGCCCAGGGTGGGACTAGGGTCCAGGCGCAGCCAGGCGGGGCGGGGCGAGGCGGGGCGAGAGGATGGCTGGGGCGAGTCTGGGGGCCTGGGAGAGGCCCCGTAACGGCGGGGATGCGCTTCAGGGACCCCCCGCGCACCCTGCACCCGAGTGGCACCTGCAGGCCCAGTCGCTTTCCCAGCGCCGGCTGTCGCGGGCATGCTTATGATTCGGGGACCCTGATGCTCACTATGCCAGCCACAGGGAGCCGGGGAGCGCGTCCAGAGGGCCCCGCGGCCGCCAGCTCCCTCGCTGGCTTCTAATTAGAACCGCCGCCGCATTCCTGGGTGCAGGAGGAAGCGCCTTCGCCCCCGCGCTCCTCCCATAAAGAAGAGCCCTGTCACCAGCCTCCTGGCTGCCCCAGGCAGTGAGAGCTTTGTCCTGTTGGCCTCGGGGGACCCTGGCCTTGCCCCCCACAATGCACTTGTAGCCCTTTTCACTTGGGCTGTATGTGTTCCGTCAGAACGGACCCTGACCCACCTTCTCCAGATGAAGGAGGGGTCCTCTCATTAGAAGCTACTACTTGGCACCTGCCCAAACAAAAGCCTAGGGCAACCTGTGGCCCCAGAGGGTAGGGGTGGCATGAAACCCCACTTTGCCTGCACACTCAGTGATTCTCCATTCCCTGAAAAGAAGTGTGTCTGGTGCCTCAGGGCTCCTGGGGGCCCACGGATCCCCCCTCCTGCGTTCTTTCTGCCCCCAGGCCAGCTGGACACAGGAGGGACACTGTGTCCACAGGGCACACAGGCAGAACAGAGAAAGACCCATGGAAAGATGGGGGTTCACAGCAGGAACAGCCTCTGTCTTCACTCTCCATCTGCTGGAGCTCCCACAGGTGGCACCTCCCTTCTCCTGCCCACCCTCCCCTGCCAAGGGGGCCTGAGGGACCCTCCCTTTATAATTTCTCACCTTCACACCCAGCCTTCCTAATTGGCTGTTCAGTTTGAACCTCCCTCCCCAAAAGGAAACCACTGCCCCATCCCTTTTCACCCCACCCCTGCAGCTCACATATAAAAGTGAAAGGGATGGGGACTTTCTCATGTGAGAAGCCACCAGGAAACAGCCCAAATCAGGAGTAATTAGGCTTTTGAAGTTGGTGTGGCTCTTGGTGGGAGGGTGGAGGGAGAGGAGGAGTTGGTGCTGCTGGAGGAATTTGAAGGGCTACAGGCCTCTCAGGACCATCTCAAAGTGTGGTAAAGCAAAACAGCCCTCAGACCAGGACCTTAAGAGCGGCAGAGACCTCTAGGAGCATGTGTTCCTGTGTGAGAGGTAGAGGTGGAGGCCTGGAGAAGGGACACAGCCATGGCACCTGACCCTGTGGCCAGCACCCCTTCACCAGGCTGCTTGCCTGTAGAATCAGTGAGGTGGAAGGCCCCTGGTACACAGGACTGGCGCCAGAGTCCAGGGGGCATGGACCCTGCGGAGAGCAGCCCCAGTGGGCATGGTATTCCCTGTTGTGCTTTGGGCACCTTCCTGCCACTTCCCCTGTCTGGGTGCTGGCATTTTGTAAACCCCCTGCTCCCCACCCCCAGTAGCATGGCCAGGGCCCCAGGGCCCTCTTCAGCCTCCATCCTTGCCCTCTGAGACAATCCCACACCCACTGCCCAGGGTTACTACACTGGCTGTACCCACATAGAGAGCCTGCCTCCCTTTGCCTGTAGAGAACCCCTTCCTGCTGCTTTGCCCCTCACCAGTCCCTGCTGGACCCCAGGCTCCCCAGCACAGAGGCCATGCCCTGGGTCAGGTGTTGCCCCAGCCAGCTGAGCAGGGCAGTGTGAGACTGAAACCGGACTTCTCCCACTGCTGCGCCAGCTCAGAGGCCTGAGATGTGTTCCCTGATTCCCCTTCTCCCTGGCCTCCCCACCCTCCTCACCAGACCCTGCTGGGCCCATTCATACTCCTAGGCATGCAGGCACCAGCTAAGAATGTGTGTCCAGCCCTCTTTCTCCTCTGGCCCTGAAGGAAGGCCATTACCTGCCCCCACGCCCCAGAACCTCCTCTGTGATGGACCTCCCTCCTGCTGGCCCCACAAGCTCCTGATACACAGGATCTTCTCAGTCTGGGAGTGGGACATAGACTTCCCTCAGGGGGGCCCACTGTTTGTAGGGTGAAGATGTGTGTTGAGTTAAGGAGCAGGTGAAGGAGAGTTCTAGAGGTGCCACCCAGGATCCTCAACCTCAGAGCATGATCGAGGAGCAGGAGGAGGGGAAAGAAGATCAGGAGGAGGGCTGAGCAAATCTCTGAGGCTTCTCAGACAGGCAGGGCCCAAGTGGACAAGACTTCCTGAGCTTACCCTGCCTCTGTGAACTGCACCCCGTGTGCCTGCCCAGGGCAGCCCTGCCCCCTGCCTCTCTCCAATTCTTCCCTTTTCCTCTGCCGTGTGTGTGTGTCTCTCTCTGTGTGTCTCTGTCTCTGTCACTCTCTCCCTCCCTCTCCCTCTCCTTCTCCCTCTTCCTCTCCCTCTCCCTCTTCCTCTCCCCCCGCCCCCGCCCTCTATGCCACCATGAGGCTGATGATGGCAGTAGCTAGCACATCTCTGTCCTTGTCTCTCTGTTACTTTCTCTCTGGGTCTCTCTGGCTGTCTGTTGGTCTCTCTCTCTCTCTCTCTCTCTCTCTCTCTCTCTCTCTCTCCTTCCCCTCTCTCTGTCTCTCTGTTTCTCTGTTTCTCTGTCTCTGTCTCTCTGCACCCCTGAAGCTGGCGATGGTGGTAATTAGACTATAAAACTAGAAAAATCCAGACACCAGCTGACTCCCAAGTGGTGTAGTAGGGTCTTGGGATCCTGGAAACAGCATTCCCCCACAGAACCACCAACAGACATCCTTTTACTGAGGGGCAATGTCAGAAATGGCCACAGGTAAAATCTATACGGTTAGAATGCTGGTTCACACAACTGCCAAGTCAGATCTTCCTCATCTCAGTCCTTCACAAGCCCAGTGCAGTTCACTCACCCTCACATCCATCCTTCTGACTTAGCCACCCAAACATCCAGGCTTCTATCTGGGGTCTGGGTATAGCAGCTTTTCTCAGGGTGGGCTGCCCTCCATTTTGCTGGTCTCATTATCACTTTTTATGGAGTGATTTTTTGTTTTATTTGCATAAACCTGCTAGAATGCTTTGTGGCAGGAGAACAGGATGCCTACATCTGGGAGGAGCGGTCTCAGGGGGGCTGGGAATCACTTAAATCACACTATTCACAGTGGGCCCAGGGCAAGTCTCCAGCCTGCAGGATGGGTGGCAATGGGTTCTGTCTCACAGGTGTGGCCCAGGACAGTACAGCAGGGCCGGGGTGTGCTGCCTGTCCAAGCATGTGTCAGTTATATGTAGAATGTGGTCTGCAGGTCATCCATGAAGAAATAAGAACAGAAATTGAAAGTATGTGCATGGGGATATCCCAGCAGTGCCTGCACTGCTGCAGGTTTGGGTATTTTATAGTGGGTGAGAAGATTCTAAAAGACTCCAAGTGCAAGCTGTTCTCTAGCAAGTTTGAAAAGCACCTACCTATGTGTGCCTTGAGCCCAAAGCTCCCTGTGGTAGGCAGCCCAGTGGACCACTGCCCTTTTGCTTCTCCACCCTGCACTGCATTTGGATTTTTGAACCAAATGTGAGGCCTTGTATTTGCCCATGTGAAGTGTGGTTGGAGGGTTGCGAAGTGTCAGGAGCCCACAGTCCTGTGCTGGGTGTGAGAAGTGGGGGTCAGAGGCTGCAGGAAGTGGGTTTTGGCTTAGAGTAGGAGAGCTCCTGGGTCTGAGAGCAATACCAGTCCTGGTGCTTGGGAGGTGGTGGGCTGCCCTGCAGGTGTGGAAAGGGGCAGCCTGCTGCAGTGTGGGTTCCTGGACATCTG